CACACACACACATATATATATATATATATATATATGTGTGCGTGTGTGTTTGAATAAATAAAGGCTTTGTTGATATCAAACAATTGCATTTCGTGCATTATAATGTCCGTGCACAGGTTCTTATTAACCTTTTAGTTAAGGCTCCTAGCCCCTCACATTGTCTATTTCATTTTAATGACGTCAGAAGCGAGAAAATGCATACTAAAAATTCTTACGAAATACGTTGAAATAAAAAGATATATCTATAAAGTGGCACTTGCAATCGATTAAATAAATCTGTGAAATGTTCCGTGCATTCCTCTTTTGCTTTAATAATCAATAATTTGTCGTAAATTAGCCTGAATAGAAATAGGCGAAGAAATAGATTAAAAAGATGAATTGTATGTCATGTTAATTTACAACAAATTATTGATTGTTAAAGCAAAAGGGGAGTGCACGGGATATCTTATAAATTTGTTTAATTGATTACAAGTGTTACTTTATGGATATATATTTTTATTTCAACGTATGTCGCAAGAATTTTTAGCATGTATTTTTTCGTTTCTGACGTCATTAAAAAGAGATAGACAATGCGAGGGGTCAGGAACTTTAATTCCTTTTGATACACACCACAGCGCATCCACAGCGATTCTTGCACGTTTTCAAGTGTGTGAAACTGTCAGGAAGAAGAAAACAAACAAACCATTCCAGCTTCGTTTGTTGTACATTCTGGAACACATCCTCTCAAGTGCATATAAAGAGTATTCCTGAAAATATATATAATAAAAAAAAAACACAGAAAAAAGAAGAAAATCTCAAGTAACTGGAAGAAGTTTACAATTAGCAGATCTATATGGAGGAAGAAAAGATATAGAACGAAGGTTCAATTCGACCACGCACGCAGGTATCCTTCGCGTCTGTTTACACGTTTGGTGAAAAGCGTAGAAGCGTACCAACGAAAACACGCGATCCCGTGTTATCGCGTTTCGATGATCAGAAGAAAAAAAGTAGAAAAAATTATGTTTTACAACATTTCGCACAATGAGATGAAATCCGTAGCGTTTGTAGAATGAGTTGAAGTGTTCGCTTAGGAACGAAGAGAACATGTCTGTATATTTATATAGAAAGGAATAGTCTTTATTATCGAAGCCTACGTACGTCTCCCAAATGCAGCGATAATGACGACGCGACGAAGATACGTATGCGCGTGTGAACGCGTTGTTTCTTCGTGTCATGATTATGATACAAATTTAATTTACGTCACATGGTTCGATAATACATATACACTCTTTCTTGTTTTCCTCTTTTCGTTTTTTTTTTTTTTTTTTTAATAATCTATACACTCTTTTCATTTCTTCCCTCGCGCGATCAGCCGACGCGTCCTGCTTGTCATTATGCGCAATGTATTTACATGTAGTAATAACACGTCCTCGCGAGAGTCCAGTTGGAGAAAAAGGAGACCGATACGTCCCGCGTATGTATTATCCAAAAACATTGTTTTATTTATATAATGTTCACGTGACTTTTTTGATTTCCGCAGATCGTTGATGACGACGATTACCTATCTACCCTACGTCTACGTTTTCAAAGCACGCACACTCACGCACACAGCGACTCACGCATACATACACTCATTCGCAAAAAATAATCTGTGTAATAATCGCGAAGCGCAACTCGCCTCTGGCCTCCTCGTTACAACTCTCTTTCTTCCTATTAGATCAAAAAATAGAGAGAAGGCGATTGTGTTTAAATTTTTATGTATATTTACAAACATTTGTACCTATCCTTTGCGCCCGTCCACTCAGGCTGTCGTGTATGTGTACGTGTCCTCGTCGCGATACACGGTACTTGTCCGCAACATTCGCGAGGTGTGAACGCGCGAAGGTCGAAGCTCGCGACAGCGGACGACTCGACGACGACGGCAACGACGGAAGTCCAGAGCAACGCGGAAGCCCTCTTCGCTTAATCTCGTAAACGCAGCTAAGCACGCGTTCGCGAACGAGCAAGTAGGTTCCGGCAAGTTCCTGTGACTCGTCTTCGTGGAACTTGTCCTCCAGTTCGCGATGACGATCGCGTGATACTTTCTTGGCATCTGACGCGGATGTGAACGCCTCAAATTGCGCAACGCCGGCTCGAAACTCAGCTGTCTCTTCTGGAATTATATTCTAATTAGATTTTCAGATTAGGACATTCCAATTGTGTGTTTGTAGAAGAAGAGATATTCACGCCATATTAAGTATTGTTTCTCTCAGGTTGGCGCAAAAGATTCGTCATTTTCCTATTAAAAATCCTCATAGTATGTTTAAATATTAAGGGGATGCTAAAGCTGAAAACTTTACCGACAGAACACTGACATTTTTCCGCAAAGTTTACATCGTATTGGTTACACAGAACTACAAATGTTTTTACGTAATGAAAGTACGTGCAAAAATAAATAGGAGCACTGCTTGATATGTGACGAAAACGAACAAAAAATTTTTAATATAAAATCTCAAGTTGTCAGTTAGTTAAAGGACCGTCTGCAATGGAAGTAGAGTATGGTTGTAAGAAGTAAGTGTAAGAAATTGACTAATCACAATCGATTATTCTTCTCACATTCGACTGTGGTCAATTTCTTACTGTTACTTCTCACAGCCATACTTTACTTTTATTGTAGATTGTCCTTTATATTTGCCTAATCTAAAAGTTCCGCAGCTTGTATATACTGAAAGTGTGGATGCTCCAAACAGAAAAATTTTGAAGAACATTACTCTGCCTTCGCATCTGCATTTGGAAGCTTAAAAATATCGAAAAAGTTTGCAGAAAGGTTTCTACACATATATGCAATGGCGTAGCCAAAAATAAAAAGTACAGCCTCCCTCCCGAAAAAGGGAGGTTTCGGGGGGGAGGCTGTATTTTTTATTTTTGACGAGCAAAAAAAAGATTCGAAAAAATTTTTCTCACGCTTAGCGTAACCAGAAAATTAATTTCGAGGGGGGAGCTGCAGCCCTCTCAGCCTCTGGCTACGCTACTGCATATATAGTTAGGTTTTCCGTTGAATATGATTAAAACAAAACAACATACATTCATGTAAATTCTGTATATATAAAAAATACGAAAAGGATAGCGTGATTATGTTAGTGACGATTATTATTGACATTGTTCGAGTTCGTCATCGACTCCAGCATCTCCTTAAAAGGAAAATAAAAAAAAGTTTCCGCATTAGACGTCTAAAACAATACTGAGTTGATGTGTCGTTTATCGTATTCGTTTAAAATTACTAATCCTTCGAAATGGGAGGATTTCGTTTTCTATTTTATTTGACAAACGCGACAAATCTTTTGTGTCAACACTTAACAAGCGAATAGATCGGTCCCCGAAGAGACTTTTCGTAAGAGGCTCGTCTTCGCAAACGTTCTTCGGACTCCCGCGACGTCGACGACGTGAAGGAGACGGGTGTCGGCGGCGAACCATCCGCGTCGAGGAGGTGTCGCGACGTGCCTCGAGGAAATTCGTTTAACGACTAATGGGAACAAGCACCAGAGTCCACCTTTTCGCTTCTCCGCGAATCTGCCGGCTATTCCGCGGCCGACGAAATATGGAATTTCTCTACTAAACAATGCCGTACGTTAACGTACGAGACATTTCGCCGAGAGAGAGATAGAGAGAGAGACAGAGAAGAAGAGAGAGCGTGCACGCGCGAACGATTGTCTGGAAGAATGAGTTTTGTACCTAAAGTGCAAAGGAATAACGTCTTTCCGTCTCCTCTTCCCGAAAGGTCGGCGCGAGACCGCGTCGTCGATCCTGAAGATCGCTCTACGATTGGAACTGTGTATCGCCTTTCGATGCTTTACCGTCAAAAAGTCCAGCAATGCGGATCGCAAATAAATAATTCTTGTATAAAACTTGTTAATTAATAAATTAATACTGAGATAAAGCATTATGTCGATGCTAATTATCAAATATATACACGTGTGTTATAATACCATATCGATAATAATTATTGTGTTTTATATCGATATTAATTATTATGCACTTATTTGCAACACTCATTTCGCATCTCATGGTGGAAAATGAATTTTTATTAGAAGATATTTTCTCTGCGTAATTTGTCTAAATTCACATTTTCTCTGGAATCATTTGCTTCTCGCTCCGCGCTCCTAAATTTTTCGACGGCGTGCACGTGTGGAAAGAGCAAAGAGCAAATGTTGCAATACACACATACATTCTACTGGTTTTTCTCTTTCTCTCTCTCTCTCTCTCTCTCTTTCTTTTCTTCTTTGTTTTCGTCTATGCACAGCCTTTTAAACTCTTTCCCTCACATCAAACGCATAAAACACATCTCCCGTGACATTCCCGCGATGCGTCATCAGATTTCTCTCTCGACAACTCGCCCGGGTCGCTGGCAATCCGGAAGAAAATCCGTCCAATCTACCGTACAACCGCGTACACAGGATACCCTCGAAAAGAACGAAGTGGCTCGCGCAATTCATCGATGAATAATGTTAACGCGAAAATGAATATTGATGAATGGAAAAAGAGCGATCGATCGTATTCGAGAACCTAAACCGATTGACTTGGCAGTATTGGAAATATATCGAGCTAATTCGAGAGCCACTGAATCATTATCGAATCGGGAAGGTAACAAGCACAGTTGACTAAGATTCAGAATACAGACTCGCGAGTGTCCTGGAAGCGTGTACTCGAGAATGTGAAAGACAATGGAAGGATACACGGTCGAGCGGAAGAAAGAGAAAAAGATTATCGTATGCTTCGAATCGGTTACTCGTCTCGCGACACAATCTGAAGGGAACGGTCTGGATGAGTCTGGTCTGGACGAATTTCTACCTCAGCGATTCGTTGTCGATTCGGGGCTCTCGCGGTGTCGAACGCAATCGCGAGCAACGATCTCGTGTAGCTTCCTTCTCTTCTTTGTTCGCGAACATACTTACGAATATATAGTCTCATATATAATATATATATATATATATCTATGTACAATCTAATTTAAATTACCTCTCACATACGCTAATCAGTTCATACTCGATACTGGAACTTTCGCACCTCGTGTGCGATACCGATTCCCGCGTCACAGTCGTCACGTTCGTGGATGACGCGACTGCATTGAGAAAAAATGCTTGAAAGTTTGTGGAATATAAAGTTTGTGCGGTTATATATACAGGATGGTTCACTTAAATCAAACACCCTGAATACTTCACTTATTTTTGATAAAACGGAAAAATGTTTTAGATGAAAGTGGAAGGGTGTCGAGGGGGACACATTTTGGTCACATTGTTTTTTTCTAGGTGAAGGCGCTAAAAAGATATGAGGGTCATCTTCACTTTTTTAAATAGAATTATGATTTTTTTATAAATATGATTCCTTTATTTATTTTATGTATAAAAATACTAAGAAGTATAATTCGAAAAATCAATAGTTTACGAGATATTTTATACTTCATTCTGACAAAAAATTTAGTTAAGGCTCCTGTAGTCCTATTCTGTAACTCGTTATTGGAGTTAACGACAGTTTCGTTATCGTTGCGCTTTTATATACTATAGAAAAGCTGCGTAACGATAACGAAACTGTCGTTAACTCCAATAACGAGTTACAGAATCTCAGCACTGGGGAGTCGCATCATCCATCTCTTTTTAATGACGTCAGAAGCGAGAAAACGCATGCTAAAAATTCCTGCAAAATACGTCGAGATAAACAGATATATCCACAAAACGACATTTGCGATCGATTAAGTACACCTCTAAAATACTCCGTACACTTTCCTTTTGTTCTAA